CCAGCCCAGCCCAGCCCAGCCCAGCCCAGGCTGAGCCTTTCCCTGCTGGCAGTCCTGCAATCCCGCAGCAGCTGCTGCCACAACTCATCCCCCGGGACAATCACCCCTTTTCCTCCCTGCTCCGGAGACTTCCCATCACGGCACGGGCCGGCATTCCCACCCCTCTGTGTTCCCTGGGAGCAGCAGCGCCAGCCCTTGACTTTAAGGCTGCTCAGCCTATGGAAACAGCTGCTTTATGGCACCGGGATGTGTTAGAACCCCCCTCCCGGGACTCCAATCATTCTCTTTCCTACCTTTGGGGCATTCCCGGAACAATACCGAGCTGACGCCTTTCATTCAACCACCGCAAAGCACTTTGCAAACTTTAATTAAAGCTCTCAGCCCTCTGGGAGCAGGGAAGTTGCCTTATCCCTAAATTATAGAAGGGGAAACTAAGGCATAAAGCAATTAAGATGCTTGAGTGAGGCTGTGTGGAAGGCAGGGGAGGGTGTGCAGTGGTTCTCCCCAGCTCAGTTCACCTTGAGTTCGGCCATCTCCTGCGGGATGAGGCTCCCCTGTGATTCCCAGCTGTCTCAGATGCGGGAATGGGGATGTTTCCAGGCTGGATGGGCTCCCTGACCCTTCCAATATCGTGTCCCTCACTCCAACAGGTCAGAAGCCACAATGAGAGGAGTGTGAGAACCTCACAGTGGGCAACTGGGGGATAAGCTGCCCCCTACAATGCCTCGTCCTGACTCCGGGAGTAATTGGTTTAAACCCCCCGAGCCCGGGGTTTTATCCCTTCCCAAACCCTCAACAAATTAACCGTTGGAATGCTGGGGGTTTGTGCATCCAACTGCTGGGACACTCCTGGGGTCCCTTCCCAGCCATTCCCCAGGGCTGGCTCAGCCCTCCAGGGTCACCACCAGCCCCCTGCTCCTGGTGTGGGAGAGGGACAGTCCCTGGATGGCTCCTGCACCTAAAACACAGCTCCCATCCATGGTTTTCCCTGCACACTCCCACTCAACACACAGGACATCCCGCTCTGCTTCAGGAATGCCAACGGCACCCGGAGAACCAGCCCTGGCTGAAAGGTGACATTGCCACCACCACGCTGGGGACAATCCAAATCCAGTGGCTTCCTGTGGAGCTTCCACTGGACAATGACCCAAACCCTGCCAAAGGCTGAGAGCCCTGGGATGGGCCCGGATAGTGACGGGGAGGGACCAGCCCTGGATCGCAGGGTGACACCACTTGAGCTGTCACCCAAAGTGCCGCCGCCCCAAAGGGCAGCGGAGCCTGTTCCTGCCATCCCAGCTGGGATTTTCCCTCTGAAAACAGCCCCAAAACTTTGAGGAGCTGGTTTCTGGGGACAGCCCCCAGGGAGGGACGGCTGCCAGCCCCGGGCTCTGCTCTCTGGCTATATCTGGGCCGCGCATCTTTCTCCTCCCGTGATTCCCAGGCATTCGCCCCGTTAATTATTAATTATGGAGCGGCTGCGATGCCCATCCGGCCCCAAACCCCAAAGCCAGGGCTGTTTTCCACCGTCCCTGCATGACCGATGGGATAGACACTGGCACAGACGGTGCTTCCATAATCACCCCAGAGCTGGGAGGGAACACTGGGATATAGAGCGACTCCATAATCACCCCAAAGCTGGGAGGGAACACTGGGATATAGAGCGACTCCATAATCACCCTATGGATAGAAGGGAACACTGGGATATACGGTGACTCCATAATCACCTCAAAGATGGGAGGGGACACTGGGATATACGGTGACTCCATA